AACTTCTTGCACAAATTTTCAAATATAAGAAATAATAATACCAACAGCCAACAATGGAATTTAAATCATTTAGATCACATGGACTATATCGAAAGCATTGCCTTGTACAGTTGTCATAACTTGATTGATTCCACAGTGACTTTTCCCTTTGACGTCCATGCGCTGGCAAGTCCAGGTTAAACAACCTCGTTTCACAAAATTAATAGTCAACTAAATGGCTATTCTAACATCCCTACCGTGACATTATTTCCAGGCTAGTCTCAATTATACATAGGAATGAAATTCCTTGCTACTGTATTTATAACAACTCAAGTGGTTATCAAATGTGAACTCATATATAGGTCGGAGAATTCATACGTATTCTCGCATTTCGACTAAACTAAGGCATGATATATACTAAATAATAATTTCCACTAATAAACGATCTATAAGTTCAACAAGTCGTCAATGTGTATATAAAGAAAAATATCTTTGTACGGACTCAGATAAACGAGCTCAACATGTTTTTCCAAGCCCTTACTTCCAGAACGTGTCTGTCAATTTTCCCAGATAATTCCTTTTTCTAGATGATTTTATATTAGCGAATTTCTTCTAAATTCAGCTCGGAGCCTTCCTTTGTACTTACCTCTCGTAGGAAAAAGCGTAGACTTGTTTTACATTTTTTTTATTTGCAGATTTAAAGTAAAGAGTTTTAGCGAATTTTCTCAGAATTGACACATCTACGCTCAGGTATAACCTTTTGAGCCAATCATATTTCGCCGTTTACGTTTGTGCCGCATAGTATACATGTTTTTAAACTGAGTTTCACTTATATGGGATGCATGTGTGAAGATGAAAATGTCTAATTCTTCCATGGAACAGGATGCCTTAAACTTGAATCGAGTTAATTGTAAGTAAAGATTTGCTTTTGCATCCACCACTGTTATGTAATTTAAGATGTTATCGTAGCATCGCAAACATGGCATATGGCCATAGAACACAATTAATTTGACTATATTGTCTCTACATTTGTTTCTCAGTACTGAACTTTCCACTGTGTGACAATCAATACAAATCATATGTTAATCTAAAATACCTTCAAAGATGACTTTACGGTTTAGTTCTTGTCAAGGGTTGACCTGCATTTTTTTGAGAGGCTGAATTGTAAACAAAACACCAGGCAACGGAACACAGATTTCACTTCCGGATCATCACCATGACCTTATTACTCAATGTGCACTGTCGCCGAAATACACAGAGACAACCACACCATAAGCTCACATTTTAAAGAATAAACAATTGCCTTTAAATTCTTTTCAAGAATGCCAAAATCTGACTCTAGTATCACCACCAAATTTAGACAGGAAAAAGTGATCTAAAAATAGACTGGGAGTACATTCGTGGGTACTGAACCGGATTTTATTGTGTACTGATTCCTGAAAGGGTCAATGTTTTTGTCAAACTTTTATATTTGCAGTTTATTTTGCATGCCACTACTATTTCAACTTCATACATAAAGTCTTTTGAAATTTCCTTGGAAGCAAAACTTGTGACAGCTGTCAGAAAGTGTGTAGTGCTGGTGTTCTATAGGGTGCAATTTGAGATCCAATTGTTCTTAAGAAACCAAAACTAAATTTTGCTATATCTTCCTTAATTATAGGAATTTTTCAATGCAGTAAAAACCTAATTGTAATACTTGATAAGACCTGTCTGAAAATATTCTTGAAATTAAAAAGTAGTGATATATTAAATTTTAATGGAAATTTAAATAAATATATAAATTTTAAAAACTATTTATTTTACAAAAATTAAATTTTCATACAAGTTATGACATTCAGTTTGACAAATTTAAGGCAGCCAAGTTGATTAATGAATGGTGTTTAAAACAAATGGTAGTTTAGGTCTGTACAACTGATAATATTAATCCCAGTGATTTTGACAGCAAATTGCAATATGCCTATCCAGATGCATATAGGTGTACATACTAAAGAAACAATGACAGGTGCTATGTTCCACATTTATTGTTTTAGGTACTTGGGCAGTTGTTTGTATAACTAGTAGCCCACTCAAATTTAAAGTTTTGATGGGACCACTACCATGTTTTATAGCAAATATGCATTCTATTTTAATGCCGATGACTACAAAAGTCAACAATGCAATATGAAAATACAGTTTCAGGGAAGTTCCATCTTACTGAAAAATGATGTGAATCTCTGTCATGAAGATCTAAGCCATGTCTTTGAGATGCTGTATATCAGTGTACTGATATGAACTCATCTTGGTCACTTATAGCAGCACACTGCACATGTCCTTATGAGACCTTGCTATCACCATTGGACTACTGGAGAGCTTCCAAAATGATCCAACTCTAATACTTTGTTCCAGATACCAGGCTAGACCTGAAAAGATATAACATGTTTTACTTAATTCTAAAAAAAAACCCAGAGAGATGTAGGCAAATGAAGTTAAAATGTGTTAGATATGGTGATTTCAAAATAACATTTAGGTTGCAAATATGGTTAAAAAAAGGTAAACTTGATAGAGTGACACTCAAAGATGTGAAGCAATGGGCATGTATTAAAGTGACAAATGCATCCTAAAAATAGATGAAGTTTCTACAAGCATATTTAGCCATTTACAGGTTAAATAACTAATCAGGTAGAGTATGTATCATAAAGTTTAAGGCAATGTAGGAACGGTGAGGTTTGATCATTGGTGCAAACATTGATACATACCAGTACAGTGGAAAGTCAAATGACAATGTACCAAATTAAAATTTATTACTATATGCAATCCTATTCATGAAGGAAAAATAATTTTAGATATTGGGAGTGAATATAGCAAAATGTGGCCACACAGATCAACTATAGCTACCAATAGATCATATATCATCAACTAAATGTGAAATTTTCATCCCGAAAACTTGTAAACAATGGATATTTGCATGTGTGGGACATATGCAATGTACTTGGTAACATCACATGTGCAAACATGATTCAAATAATCTGCTTGAACATTTTTAGTTTTTTTAAGAGTCTTTGCTACCAAGTTATTAAGTTCAATGATTCAATGATTCAATGGAATCAGCAGGACAACAACGAAAAAAAAAACGATTTATATTTATTATCGATACAAATGTTTTGTTCATGGCAGCTAGTTTGAGTGACGTCAATGTTATAATATACGTTATTTTAATTGCCTGATAGTGATAGTTACGATCACACGTATGTAATTATATGTTATTTTAATTCCTTGCTGGTGCTGATCACACCTATGTAATTTGCTGATCGCACTAGGTAGTGACATGCTTACGTAATTATATGTTCTTGTAATTTTGTTGATCGTGCTAGTTAGTTATACCTATATAATTATATATGTTACAATAATTAGCTAATTTCACTAGAATTACTTGCCCAAGTAATTATATACGTCATTATAATTTGCTGGTGGCGCCTGTTAGGCCATATCTATCTAGTTGATTACGTTGGGGCGGGGTGGGGTGGGGTTGGGGGTTAGTTAGAGCCACCCTATGTTTACTATAAGTTACAGATGGTTCTTTTTATGGATATACCTATTTAATTGAATATTTTATGGAACTACTTATATATGTGATAGCAATATAGTTAGGGCCATAATTTGGTAAATATTAAAGTTATTATAATTTGATTATGGTACTAGTTATAGTCATGTATATGCACTAATATAGTTATTGTGATAGCTGTCTTGATGAATGGAGTCAAGTAAGATATTCTCCAAATATATGGGGAAAACAGTTATGAGTATTACATTAAAAAGTCTATAATATTCACGGTCAATAATATTTTTCATTTTATCTTAAATCCGTACTGCAAGATTTTTTTTATCTTGCTAGCGAAGTAGTACTGAATATATGCGACACTACCTTAATATCTTTGCTAAAAAATATTCGTTTGGTAGGTTTTTTGTACGCAGTTCCATACAATAATTAAAGAAATAACCAACCAAAGATTCACCTCATAAAACACTCCGCATTTTATTTTCATCAAAAATAGGTCTACTTTAAATGATGTTGGATTTATTCTGAATCATTATAATCACTAATTTATCAATGTTGGATAAACAAAAACAAAGAAATTTCAGTTCCAGGCAATCCAATTTTTTCTCTTTTGTATTTGGTAACACGTCCTTGGAAATAGCCGATCAGCATTTATACCTAGGATTACATTTTTAAAAAGCGAATCGCTGAAACATGTAAATAAAGCCTTGGCTTATACAAAACATTAACACATTTGTGTTTTCCGTTGGTTTTACAATTTAAACCTTTTTAAATATAATACTGATTTTCCGATATTGTTATAAAGGTGTGAGATCTGGTGTTCTAGCGATAATACTGTTATTAAATGTGTGGACATTGATTTCTTATGAAACGTTGTATTTTTAAGATAAAGTAATTCACTATATATGTTACATGGAGAACGGTATTTTAGTTATTTTATTTACTTCTAGACTTTCTACTTGAAAAAGAGATGAGTAAACATTCAAAATTATTATCCAACATTATGTTACACGATGCTAGTGCTGCTATACCAGGGTTACATATTCCTCTAAAAGTAAAACTTATCGGACATTGAAAAAAAAAATTAATTTTGAACCCTTTCTAACGAGCATGCTAGAAAAGAATAGAATAATTCTAACAAAGTTCCGTATAATAAAATAATGTCCCGCCTTTAAACTTTAGAATTGCGACATTTTTGATGTATCTGAAAGAAAAAATGAAAGATATGCCTTACAAGATATAGGCAGTGAATTTTAGAACCTGTTTCAACATACTGTTGAAATAAGAAAAAAAAACTATACAAGTAAAAAATGTCTATAAAAACATCTAAAAACAATATTGATGCTAACAAATTCAGCGAGTTTCTAAATAATACGAAATGTTAACGTACTTTCTAGATTAAGTAAATCTGTAGAACCAAATTTTCAATCATTCTGTTCCAATGTAAACTCAACATTGTTGTGACTGTTACAACTTTTCTAAAACCGCTCCGGTGGCCTATTGATTAGAGCGTCCGCCTCAGACGCGGGAGGTCGTGGATTCGATCCCCGGTTGAGTCATACCAACGACTTACAAAAATGGTACAAACAGCTGCCTCGCTTGACGCCCAGCATTAAGAGGTTAGTGTTAGGACTGGTCGGCCTGGTGTTAGTATAATGTGACTGAATGGGACATCATGCTACATGTCTGTGGTATGGTGCCCCAGTGCTAGACATCACTATAAACTACCACATTGCAGACATCGTAGAAATATGACTGAAAAATTGTTAAAGATACGTTAAAAATCATAACCACCACAATTGTTCTTCTCATTCTTATCTCTTACTAGTCAGAGATCAGAAGGGATTATCCAATGATCTATTATCCGTCCGATGCTTGCCACAACATATTCAATCACTGCATGATAATATGACCGATCTGACAGTCCAGTATTGTCGTCACAACGACCATGTTAGGAATCATTACTCCTGCATCGATGGTCATATAACCATGTCGTTTTTGCCAAAAGACTTCTTATCATGACTTTGACATCCAATATGGCAGCCATATCAGCATAACACTAACCTCTTAATGCTTGGCGCCAAGCGAGGCAGCTGTTTGTACCATTTTTGTAAGTCGTTGGTATGACTCCACCGGGGATCGAATCCACGACCTCCCGCGTCTGAGGCGGACGCTCTAATCAATAGGCCACAACATATTCAATCACTGCATGATAATATGACCGATGTGACAGTCCAGTATTGTCGCCATAACGACCATGTTAGGAATCTTGCTATCATTACTCCTGAATCGATGGTCATATAAACATGTCGTTTTTGCCAAAAGACTTCTTATGATGACTTGGACATCCAATATGGCAGCCATATCAGCAGCCATATTGAATTATTTTATTGCTAATCATCCTGAATGAATGATCAAATCAACATTCCATTTTCAATGAAAGACTTCTTCTGATGTATATAAGGTTCTAAATAAACATGGTACCGACATGACGACGAAAATGACCTCCAAAATGGTGATACTAAAAATTTTGTTGTTGATGCTCCTCCTACTGGAACAGAAAGTCAAGTTCACGTGAAGTTTTCTTCGCGTTATGTCCAGTTGGCCTTAAATAAAAATGGTGTAAACATAGGGCCTCCACACAGCGGACACCTTGAAAATATTGATACCTCTTCAACGGATGGTTGTATCAAAATTAAGTTCTCACTAAAAGAGCTGATGTCCAATGTGACCATCACAGAAGACATCTTGAAAATCTTGTTTCTGAATGGAAAGTCATATCTTGAAAACATTATTATCTCTGCCCCTCCCAAATGGATGGCTTTATCAACATGGGTCTTTCACCAATGTAATTCTTTTGCGACATACTTTTGTCCTAAATGAAAATTGTACCAATCATACAGCCAACATGGCTTTCAGGCGATTGTCTTAAAACTATTGGTGACAGTCCTCACCCTGAATTATCATTATGACATGGGTTTTTTACTGAAACACTTATGATGACGAAGACTTGTCCTGAATTGAAATGGTACCAAGATGACATCCAATACATGCTCCACAGCAGCCAATTTGAAACTCTTGCTGTCACTGAAGAATATCAGTGATAGTTTCACTAGGCATTTACAAGGAAGAAATGGTCTTGCATTCCTGGGATTTATTTCCGCCCAGTAGAGAGTGAGTCCCTTCTAGAGGCTCTTTTATGTGTATCCAAAATATTGCCATGTCTCTTCGGTTAAATTACGTGATGACATCAGAAGTGAGCATGAATGGGACTCATTGAAAATTTGCGATGCGTGGTGTTTTTTTTTTAACATCGTACAGGCAAAGATAAAATTATGCTTCTGATTATATTCAAATCCTCTTTCTTGAAATTGAGCTTTTATGTCTTTACATATTTTTAAGCATATATTAAACTGGTTATTGAATTTTTATTAAAGTATTCAAGTGAATTCGTTGGTTTTGGCCACTGCCGAAATGTCCCGGACCACACGTTTCACTTCGTGTTTTATCGCTATACTCCAAAAAGCAAACAAAGGGCACACCCTCGTGTGATTTTTTGTGAGATCTTCGTCATACATGGGTATTTTTTTAAGTTTTTAATTAATTTCTGATACATATGAAGTTGCTTCGGTAAAACTTCGCAGACGTTTCACTATAAATACATCTCTCCCTATATCATTTTTGGCACATATTTTCTGCAATGATTCGAAACAAAATAATACGAAAAAATTTAAATGGATAAAATTAACATCACTACCTATGGAGGAGGTATATCAAATAACGTACACACACACACACACACACACACACACACACACTCACACACACACACTGATACAAATTTTATTTTATTTGCGTTTACCTTCACTTGTGAATTGGCATGATTTGTTTTCAAAATTAATAAATATTCATATTTTTCTCAAAACTGACAGCGCCGCTCAGTGCCACCTCCATGTGTTGTTTCACTTGTTTTTCCTGTCAGACCATGGTTTGTTGAACTCAGTAAGAGCTTCATCAATAGAAGGTCTGTTTAAATATATAGTTTAGGTTCTAAAACTAGAACTGGTTTTCCAAAACACTCGAAAAGCAGTTTTATGAAATAATCTGATTCTCACCTAATTGTTATGATAACATTTCACTACATATGGACCTTGTGTGTGTGTGTGTGTGTGTGTGTGTGTGTGTGTGTGTGTGTGTGTGTGTGTGTGTGTGTAAAATGTAATACTTCACCTATCGCCTTGCTGAATACACAAACTCCTTTACCCTTTCGATCCAAATAAGTTGCTGCAAAATCAGGCGTTCTTGCACAGCTGGCACACCTGGATAACGACCAGCAACAATCACTCCCGAAATAAACGGGATGTATAATGTAATCTGTGGATTCTACATGAGAATCATTGATAACATGACATAATTTTTATATACGAATAAATAATATCAGCTTACAGATTAGAGAATGTGTGGTGCTATGAAATGTAATTAATTACTGAACATTAACGTATGATTGCGCATGACTAGTGTTTGTAAAATACTTGTTATGTGACAGCGGCGGATTTTGTTTCGATATGTATTTTCATTGTGACACAATTTTCTTTCTTCACTTGATTTTGCCATTTTTTGTTAATGTGGACTCACTCAAAGTTTCCTGCTGACAGACTCTAAATATACCGTGAGCCCCTCTAGGTTACCTGTTGACCCACTTTAAATATCCTGCTGACCGATTCTACATATCCGGCTGACCCACTCTAAGGATCCCGCTGACCCACTCCGAGTTTCCTGTTGACCCACTCTAAATATCCTGCTGACTGACTCTATATATCTGGCTGACCGACTCTATATATCCTGCCGATCACTCCAAGTTTCCTGTTGATCCACTCAAAGGATCCTGCTGACCCACTCCATGTTTCCTGTTGACCCACTCTAAATATCCTGCTGTCCTACTCTAAGGATCTTGCTGACTCAATCTAAATGTTTCGCTAAGAGTTGCATACCACACAAATCGTGGAGTACCGTAGTTTGCTTTCTAATTTTCCCTCACGGTATATTTCATGTATGTTAGAGACCAACATTTTTGTTCTGCTGAAAGGTCTATGACTTTAAAAAAAATCCAGCTTTCAAATAACAATCTCTGAATTATAACAAAATAACACCACATTATATCCGTACTATTAGCAAAATAAAATTGTCTTCGGATAAAGAAAAATAAAATAGGTTGGCTAGAAAGAAAAAATCGACCCCACCCTAATAAGATGATCAATACCTTAGAGGAGGTGAAAATGCTATGTGCGTGTTAATTGCTGTGTATGTTGTCCTCTAAAAGCTAGCTGAAGTGGGATGATTACGCTTCCACTAGATCTGACACCTGTAAAATACATTTATTTGACATTGGAGAGCTTGATGTTAAAAATGGGAAGTTTTGACACTGAAACCAACGTATTACTAGCTACATTATTTATATACTTGACATGGAAATTTTGAGTTGGATGCCACACACGGGAAAGGATATCAGAGAGAGGCCAAACAAACATAAAACATACTGATTCTATAAACATAGAAAATATTTAGTGAACAGAAAATAATTGTTCCCCAAAAGATTTTATGATTCTCGGTTCTACAAGAGGAATATGTGGGTTTAACACATTAACATCAGCAAATAAACAACTATGAAACAATTTTTGCTTTTTCTTCATCTGACAAATTTACAAAAGTCGCATTTGGCCAGTACATCTTTAACAACATTCGATTTTGGTTGCCTTGTTGGTAGGTGTGACACGTGTCAGACATGTCATTAGAGGCTCTTCATTATAACTAAATTTATAATATTTCAAATTAATTTTTGACAAATACAACTATTTTGAAAATAGTAATTCTATCACTAATAATAATAATAATAATAATAATAATAATAATAATAATAATAATAATAATAATAATAATAATAATAATAATAATAATAATAACACGCATTTAAAGTGTTGGTATAAATCAATTTGATGTACCAATACTATTGGTAGATCAAATTGTGATCCGCCCATGGAGCAATAATGCGCATATATAAACATTTTCGCGAGCGTCTGTAGTTGATTCTAGATCAATGATCAATTTCCACAAATAAGTCACTAGTGACGTATGAAAAATAATAATGAAAGTATTAATAATCCCCGTTTTCTCAATTAATTTAATATGGTACAAATTTTCATCCCAATTCTTTCTGCCCTCCACTCTCAATCATAACGGAACAAACTTCGCAGAAATACGGAATGAGAGAGAAAAGAAATTAGGGCTGGATTAAAACCTTGAAATAGAAATTGCACCAAATAACCTACACAAATATGGTTCGTCTTAAACGATACGCGTGCACTTTCCTGTGGATTTATCAAAAGTGTTTATCAATGATACAATGTTGCAAACCAGTAAATTCATCGGTTACGTGATACACATGCTGTGATATATTTAATGTTATGGCTTTTTTCTTCAACATGCCATAATAATCTAAAAAAAATCGACTATTATTATTTAAATATGAAAATCTCCAAACCTCTCTCTCATCGTGGCAGTA